TGCATTTCTATATAAGAAATATACATAATCATATATTTAGCTACAGAGCAATAAAACTCACACATTAGAAGCAATTAATAATAAAAAAATACAGATATACCTGACTCAATGGTTTCATAAAACTCCACCTGATTAGAAGCAAAACCTTCTTCCACCCCCTGGTTTACCTCCATCTATATAATCAGACAAATTGCATATTAAATAAATTGCACCTAATCATGAACATTAGAAAAATTAGAAGAACTCACCCATTGTTGGCACTGAGAAGAGCACGTTTGAATCAATTAAGGTTGAAGCTGGAGAATCAGATATTTGGCAAGCAGAGAGAAATCTGATATTTGGCAAAGAAACCCACGACACCAAATAGAAAGAATTATTCAGTGGGACAAATCTGATATTAAAAAAAATTAAGATCACAACTCATACAAAAAGAAACCCACCACAACTCATATAAAAAGAGGTCAGATTCCAAACATCATTGTACGAATGTCTTCTAAAATGATGATTCCAACAATAAAGCACATAACCCACAGACTACAGCTCTTTTCATTCTTGATTTCTTTTATGCTAACTTTCAAATTTGAACTTCTCAATATAATATAATCATATATATATTCACAAATAAAATCATCATCAATTTTACCAATGGCATCTTTGCCATTAACGTGGACAGTGCCTTCAATACTTCCTCCTCCGAAGCCCTGTGAATTTACAGAATGAATGAAGCTGAAAGCAGAGAAACAGACCCAGAAACACAACCCCATTTGCCAGAAATGAGAACCCATTTTCCAGAATCAACCAGTTCATACACAAAAGGGGTTAATGTGCAAGCCCACTACTAAAAGTTTATTCCAAGAATTTGATAAATGTGTAGATAATCAGAAATAAAATATTAGAACATACACTTCTTCGGGTTCTTGAACATCAATCAGCTGTGCGACGATGACGATGGCTGTTGTGGTTCAAAGCAATGGTGGCTTCTCTAGGGTTGAAGTGGGTTGAGTGAGGCTAGGGTTGAAGTGGGTTGAGTGAGGCTGCGTGTTCAAAGAAGAGGAGCCTCTGAGATGAGGTTTGAGTCCGAAAATAAGTGGTTTGGAGTCCAATTCAGTGTGGCTGGGTGTAGACTACACATCTAATTAACCACTCAACTATTGACACATGTAAAGTAATATATATGAATATATATAATTAATTAATTAATTTTTAAACGGTTCGGTTCGGATTAACACAGTTTTTCAAATATTAAAACTGCAGCTGAACCAAACCATTCCGGTTCGGTTCGGATTTTAAAACTGTTGACTTTTTTAAAGTCAAAACCAAACCAAACTGGAAAATACGGATTGGTTCGGCCGGTTTGGCCGGATCGGCCGGATTGATGCCCACCCCTAGGCGTGAGGCCATGCGTGAATTTTCAGTAAACAACCCATCATCTCCTCCTCTTCCTCTCGATTTCTGCATATTCTCATATCATAAATCTTTAGGAAATATCCCTAACTATATAAACCCCAAATCAGTGTTGGAAGATCCATATAGCATCATAAACCAAAACCTGTGTTGGAGGCATCTAAATAGCTTGCGAACCATCAGCACGAACCAATTCTCTAATGTTGTCGTCTTGTTGAAGATCGGGAATTGGTGTTTTAAGTGTCCGGTTGACTCCGTGAGCACAGAGCCTGTGAGCCAATTGATGGTGGGGTCAATGGCAAATCCTAGGCTTCGCAGCCTGCTATGGTGGAGATGGTGGGCCAAAAAGGACTGGGCAATCGCAGCCGTCGGATTTACCGTTGTTGCCTTCGCTCTCACTCTCCTCTCCAACTCTTGGAGCGATGAACCAGACTCCGAAATCACCCGCCCATTTCATCCCATCAACGCCTCCGATTTGGTCGAATTAACCTTGTTGCAAAACGCTAAAGCTAGAGGCGCCCGTACTCAATCTCATCCCCTCAACTTGCCACCTAAATTTCGATTATGTCTGTGTTTTCAGCTCCTAATTCATTTCTGGTTTAAATTCATGAGTTTGCAGTATGTTTAGATGGAAGTGCGCCTGGCTACCATTTCAAAAAGGGCTTTGGATCTGGAGCTAACAATTGGCTGCTTCACATTGAGGTCTTAATTCAAATTTTATGCTTTTTGGCATGTCTACAATATGATAGTTTCATTCAATTTCAGTGCATTTACATATTCTAGTTGATATGTTTATTAAGAAAGCAAAGCTGGGTAATGGGTTTTGGGTGGAAAATTGAAATGCAGGGTGGAGGTTGGTGCAATACAATAGAATCTTGTTCATGGCGGGACCCCATTAGGATATTCCGAATACATGGACCGTAAAATTCCCTTTTCTGGGATTTTAAGTTCCCACCCATCACAAAATCCTGGTACTTCAATTTGTCTCAGCTGCTATCTTATGACCATAATGCTTCATTTTGTAATATTAACTCAGTGCAGCTGATTGATGAATTTCAATTCCATTTTTGGAGCATTGTGTAGAGTTCTTTAACTGGAACAAAGTCAAAATCCGGTACTGTGATGGCACGTCCTTAGCTGGCCACCCAGAGAACGAGCTGAAGGTAAATTTATGTTTGAAGATTTTCTGCCCTGTTTCGGAACCGGTTATAATAATTTTATTAATGGAAGAATATTGTCTTTGAGGAATTATATGAAGAAAGTTGCTCGTTGGTTCTAACATTGTCTGTTCCTCCATTTCCTAGAATGGATCAGCACCTTTCTTTCGGGGCCAGCTCAACTGGGAAGCAGTTATGGATGAACTCTTGTCAGTTGGCTTGTCAAAAGCCAAACAGGTATATCTGTGGTTACTCCAATTAAGCTCTGCTTTATAATAATGATCTGTAAACTTACAGATCTTAAACATCAATAAAATTTTATGCATGTACATGGTTTGATGGTTATGAGTTACGACTACACAAGTTGTGGTTTGGTTAATTCTACAAGGATATGATTGGTCCACAATTTGTAATAAACTTCTGCAGAAAAAAAACTTTGTTTCCTGCACTGCATGAACATCTTTTTAATGCCTCACATAAATTCTATTTTCCAGCATCCAAATTTTATCAGATTGTTCCATTTCTGTTAATATGTATGAGTGACAATCTAACAGGCCCTTCTTTCGGGATGCTCTGCTGGTGGGTTGGCGACTCTTATACATTGTGATGACTTTCGACGCCTTTTGCCTACGGATGCAACTGTCAAATGTCTTGCTGATGCAGGTTTTTTCCTTGATGAGTATGTTTTATGTGTACTAGTGCCGTCTGTACCAACATTTTTTAGCTAATCTGTTCAGTATGGAGTCTTTTCTAGGATCATATTTCTTACATGTACTCTTCAAGGACAATGTTTCCTATCAAAATGGAATACGTATCATACGGTTCCCTTTTCTAAAAGATTTTAAATTCTTCCTATCAAGCTACAGTAGGAATGTTGAAAAGTCATGCTTTCTTCCTATCAAATTAACTTGGCAACTTTTTTTCGTACAGGTTACCGCAGATCTCTTTTGAAGGCGCAAAAAGAATTCCAGAAAAATAAGGAAGGAGGAATGTTTATAAGTTCATGCTTTATTCATTGCCAGGCATGGATGACTGAGACATGGCATGCTCCTACTTCTCCACGAATAAACAATAAGGTGAGGAGTTTCGTATCATCGTATTTGAATGCTGAGATAAGATAAGGGTTTCTTGTTAACTAGAATATTATTTCAGAAAGTATTTCATCCCTGCAGTACGTTTCTATGTGATTTCTAGAGGGAGAGAGCCTCAGTCATCTCTCTCCCCTCTCCCCAACCCCTGCCCCCTATGTGGGCGTCCTTGTGCTAAATCATGTTATACAATCTAATCTATTTGTTTGTCATGTGATTTTGCCTACTAAAGCTGAAGTGCCGTAAGACCAGCATCATGGCATCAAATGTGTTTAATTAATTTATTTATCGGGTTTCTGTCATTTTCGTAACTAAACTCGATATCTAACTGTTTGTCTTTGTTGTTACTGATAGACAATTGCAGAGTCCGTTGGCGATTGGTACTTTAATCGAAATGCATCAAAGAAAATTGACTGCCCGTTTCTTATGCAATCCTACCTGCTATCATGTAAATTTCACACACGGTTGATTGAACTCAAGAACACAAATTTTTAGCGGGTTATTCCCAACTGTAGATCCTTACTTCCTCAGTATCCCCTGGTGGAAATACTCTCCTCCTTGTTCAGTGCATGATCCTATTTTTGTAGATACCGAGAATGAAGGTGTTTTCAGAAGAAAACAGTTTATATTGTTGTCACTTCTTTACATATAGGAGATAGTCATTGTTAAATTTTGTATATTACATTGCAGAGTACAAATTAACCAAATGAAAGGCCTTTGCTTGCAATGTAGCAATCATTTTGAAACAGCTCAATGCTCAAGGATGTGTGTGTATGCTAATTGCTATGATTATCTTCTGTACACCTTACTTAACATAAACCAATTGTACATACTGCACCTCCTAATTATAAACCCAATTTAGTGCTTGAAACTTGCAAATCATGAGATAATTGTAGATACATGATTTCTAGATCTCTGCTCTCACCACTCTACAAATCTCATGTCACTTGAGTTGAGGCTTATGAGCCATATATTTTCGATCACAGTATATCATACATGTTACATGTAGATGGTTGTAGATACCAAGCCATAACAATTTCGTCTATAAAAATAATGCTAACTTGTGAAACATGAAGCATGCAATGATTTTCATGCTGCCAGGGTTTAGCAAAGAGTTTGCGTGCTACGAGAATGGAACCCTCTAAGGTAGGTGCTCTTTTCCTATTATGTATAGGGTACCACTGAGCAAATTTGATAGGTTTCATCTTATTTCGTATTGTTTGTTGTGAACTTTTACGACAATGTCTCTTTCCTGAGGAAATCATTAAAAACATTAACACCCCAGTGTTCCTAGTCAACCCCACCTACGATTTTTGGCAGGTAATTTTCCTCAGAGCTTCATTTGCTTAATTGATTTCACATTCCTTTTCTCATTTCCTAATGCTGGTTTGAGTCTGTATATATTTTTAGGGTATACTAGTGATTTGCCCCCTAAACTTGTACCTAATTTTCAATTAACCCCCTATCCTCTTTTTTTAGAAAATTAAGGATATGAACTCTTTTTTTTGGCCAATTTCCCCCCTCCGTCTAAATCCACAATATTTCATCCAATTTTCCGTTAAATATGAGGGCAAATTGGTCATTTCCATATGAAAAAAAAATAAAAAATTTGAAATTTGAAATAATAATAATAATAGAAATAAAGTTCATAAATAAATAAAAACCTCACCTTCCATATCTCTTTGTCTCTCTCTGTCTCTCCCACTCTCTACAATCCCTTCTTCCCCAAATCAACCACAGCCACAGACACCT